TTCCAGGATTCTCGTGTTCCGCGACACGAGAAGTCAAAAGAAAAAAGGTACAGCAGTCAAACATGCTGAAGGCATGGAGCGGGAAATTCCGATGCCGAATTGTTCGACCCTAAGACCTGGCTGTTGGAAGACCGTAACGGGTCTTCCTTGTTCCACGATGGAACAATAACAGCACAATATAAATTATAACTAAATGTAAAATAAATTCGCTTTTAATTGCGATAGAATCTCTCGAGGACTCTCTCACACACAACGTCTATATACAATGACTGTCATTCAACTACTGATTGTTTTTTCGCGGCTCTCTGTCATACTCGTCACACACACATCCTTCCACACAAACATTCCTCACACTCATACCGCACATTCTATGAAAACCACTACCCATGTGTCACTACTCGCGCTCTGTTTCATAGTATTGAAAGCTGATAAATGGTATGTAAATCGAGAAAGGTTGATATAATAATAAATATCCATAAATTAAAAGAGAAACAACAAATACTCTATACGGAAAGTGTGGAAATCTTCAACAATGTTAAAATGAGAAAAATTATAATTTAAAAAATAGAAAGGATAAAATAAAATAAGGACCTTATAACGTGAGATGAAGGAAACTCTGTTAACGTGAGTGTGGTCGGTAAGGTGTTAACAAATTTGAAGACATGCTTAACGCGGTTTACGTGGACGCGTCATGTTGACGTATTCCGAATTTAACGAAAAAAATTATAGAAACAGTTTACACTTAAATAAAAATAATCTCTACGAGTATTATAAGTTTTATATAAATATATAAGCCCTATACTGTACATAAATCGATTAACTCCACTTTTTGAAAAATCTTAAATTTAAGAATCAAAGCACTTGGTATAGTTATAAATTTTTATATCTATAATAACTTTCCCTGATAAATAAGATTAACGCTATTAAACGACAAAAATTTTTTGGCCACTGAATAATAAATAATTCATTTCAGAGGTCACTTTGATTAACTCCGTACTCTAATGTACATCGTTGCAATAATGCAACTCAAATGCACTAGCAAGCCATAAATGATAACGGTGAATTTTTTAGTGCCGTCTTATCAGAATTTAAGTAAAACAAATTAGTCAGTCACAGTCTAATTGTAGCAGAATCAAGTACTTGTGAAGTCAAATCAATTATTATTAAGAATTGTAAGAGTATGTAAGATTATGCAAGCTCCGGTTACCGAAATTTGTAGCAGGTAGACCATAAAGTTTGAAAAATGTAGAGTCAGCCTTTATTATATCCGAAAGGTAGAACTGTTACAAGGGAAAAAAGGAGAGACATGACTGTCCTGACTGCTGAAATTCATTCCTCCTGTTAAACATGATTGCTATAAAAACTTGAGAACAAATCGAAGTTACGAGTCCTCGCATACAGCTGACGAAGAAGGTATCATTTATTTTGCCGAAGAAAATTAATCACAAATAATAATATATTATAATAGAACCATTAATATTCATTTTTATGAAAAATCTGTAGTAAAAATATCTCATAATTTTCTTTTTCTGTGTTAAAAAATTAAAAAATTTAAACACTGAATTTAAATTTATTACTTTTTTCACTTGCCAAATCGATTAACTCTTCCAGTAACATAAAAATGGTAACATTACTAACGATTACCTTTTGGCTATTTTTTCTTATAAATTTTATATACCGTTAGATGAAAGTTACGTTGGTATTTATGCATTTTACAATATTTATTTCGATTTAAATTATGAAAAGAATTTTAAAAAACAATATACATTATTCCATTGCATTTCTCCACTTTTTGTTTTATGAAGTTAATCAATTTGTGTAGTGAACGGCTTATATATCTGAAGGTATATCGTGGTCGGAGTAACGTCGGATTTCGTCGAAGTTTATTATGCACATGGGGGGCTGGTCGTAAAGACAGAAACCCCATTGACTCGGGACCCTCGATGTCGCTATGATTGGAGAAATGGTTTGCTTCTTCGCAATTACGGATGCGTTCCTACATATCTCATACTTTACCAATTAAAAGCGCATAATAATGTTGCTTTCGACATTGTTCTTTTTAAAGAAAATATCTGACTTTGTTCATATTCAAATAGATATACAAGAAATGACTGTAAACCAAGTATTTAAGAAATTATCTGTGTGTATAATTTTTGGATAAGAATAAAGTATACAGCTTCTCGGTGAACGTGAGATATCGTTGAACGTTTCAGATGAAGGAGAAATATGTTTCTTAATAGTTTGAACAGTCTATATGTATTGTTTGCGAAATTTAAGATAATTTACAATTTGGCAATAGTCGGTCATTTTCCAGTATTCAGCTGATCGACATGGGGCTTAAAAGATGTGTTGGAATAAACGTAAGAAATTTATGACATGGCCTGAAAGGATCTAGATATGGTGAAAGAGTTTTTCGCCCTGTGGAAGAGAACCCAAAAATCTTGGGACCGTTGCCGAGAAGAGATGTATCCTATCGTGCTCTCTCGAGTGTTTATAAAATAAGGTCTTTAACGTTCATCATATATAGGAACCTGGATTTCAATATATGTAGGATATTTTTTGACTTCCCCAGGTATAGAGGCCCTGTTAGCGTCTGGCGGCCAGACGAGTCTGGGGAAGTCGGGGCCAGGCCATGTGAGGTAGCCTCGCTCACCCCGATTTTCCCCACTGTAAACCGGGGGTGACGCGTCCGTGGGCACCTCTCGGGAAGGGTCCCCGCGTGGGTGACCCTTCGGAGAGCCTAACCCGAAGAAGGAATCCCTTCCACCCCAGAGCGTTACGTGGAGGGAGCTTTCTCCTCCTTCGGGGGAGGCTCTTGCCTTCCAGACTGGCTTAAAAGGGCCCGCTCTGGAAGATAGAGGAGAGTTTTGAGATAGTCATTAGAGAGTTGAGGTAGTCCTTGAGAGAGTTGAGACCGAGAGTTGTGATTGCGAGAGTTACGCGTTATTGAGAATCGAATAGAAAATACAGACTGCAGTGAATCTGAGTATTCCGAGGTACCCTCCAGCGAGTAGAGACTGTGAGACCCTACATATACAATACGGGTTCTAGCAACAAGGCTACGTTGGAAAAATACAAGTCGGCGGAGAGGGAAAAACTAAAACTGAAACTGAAAACTGACACTGAACTGAACTGACTTGTTGCGGCCCTAGGACCGCAATGTCCCAAGTCAAGTGGAGGCCTGTTTCGTGCATTTATTGTAAGCGTCCCTTGTCATGTATACACTCAGTGTCACCTAAACCACCGCTAGTATAGACCATGACAAGGACCAATATATTATCATCATAGACAACAGGCATAAGAACTTAAATGTTTAAACAACCACCACCACCGAAAGACGCTGAAGTTAACATCCACCTCCAATATCATACCAACCAATCAGAAGACAGTCAAACCTTATAAAACTATCGACAAGGCATTCACGAGAAGATTCTCAGTAAAACCTCCATCACGACCACATCAAGATTCTCTCTAAACTCCATCACGACCGCAACATCGTCAAACGAGACCCACCAACACTCAGCGCAGGAGACTGTCTACTACTATAGAACTCCTTGCAGTTCAACACTAACTAGGTCTACCTCTATCAAATTAGAGTAGGCCGCATCCCAAGCAGCATTGCCGCAGCAGCGTAACGGGCCTTACAACCCCGTGAAACTCCACGAGCGTGTTGCAGTGTTCGGGATGCAACATGACTTTTCGCAAATTTTGTGGGTGCTTATATAATGTTAGCTTTTGGTGGGGTGAAGATGACCATTGGCCCTTAGTGAAAGTAGGAATGAGTCAATTGTTTTTAAACTCTGAAATTGGTCTGCGTTTATCAGCCAGGCCCTTCTAGTGACTAAGAGCCAACGAATCGTTAGTCATTCAACGCATATATGACCGGCCAGATTTCTCCTGTGATGTCACGGTAGTCATTGGTGGCCGGAGCGTTTGAACTAAGTACATACAATTGTAAAAATTGACAAGTTAGTCAATTGTCAACCGCAGGAAGGCGCTACGATGGTCACCCATGATCGCCAATAAAATAAACGCTCCAATGGGTAAGAATGTTGTCCTACATCGTCAATTTATTATTATTTTGCCATTATATGCTTTGAAAAACAAAAATACTCCCTTGGCGTCCTGAGTGAAACACGTGATTTCGGCAATCAAAGGGTTAACCTTTGTTGCGATACGACGAATTTTATTTTACCCACGCTTTAATTTTTACCTGGATCCCTTTCTAATTCAACAAGACACTTGGAGATCCAGAAAACCAAAAGTCACGCATTTTGCACCCAATCATCTTTGATGACACATCTCCGAAAACGAAGCATTTGAAACATCAATCATTCAGCCGCCTTTTTATCTCCTCGATGTTGATTTTAAGCATCTAATCAGGTGCAGGTAACCCTCCTATAACACGGTAGATAGGTTCCCAGAAAATGCTGTGTTGTGTGAAACCGTGTTGTATAAGACCCAGACGCAGTACAAAAAGGGGGGTTACATTCCGTAAACTTACTAAAAACAAATTTTTTGTAATTCTACATAAGCAACTTAATTTTTATTAAAAATATAAATGTATGTACAACACAAAGTAAAAAAAAAACAAAAATATTATTTTAAATTAATGCAACTTTAATTTAATAAATTTCTTCGCCCTCACTGCTCATGTAGAAGTACAGTTTTGTACAAAGGTTTTTGCAATTTTCTTATTGTGTTAGAGCGAAACCGTGTTATAGGATGCCGTGTTGTAGAAGGGTTCCCGCAATTTATGAGTCGTGTTATAGTGAAACCGTGTTATAGGATGCGGTGAGGTAGGAGGGCTACCTGTACCTGATATTTCCATTCCATTTTCCGTTTACCTTCGGCTTTCGATCAAAATGCTTCCTGGGCTCCTCACGATGCCTTACGATTGACCAAGAACTGGAAAGGGAAAGTTGGGAAAGGTGTCGCGTGCGTCATACGCGTTCTCGACGATTAGGCAGTGACATGGAAAGTAACGTTGAAAACCAAAATTCAAGTTTCCAAAAAGAATCGTTTTATTCCGTCTGTGCTGCACTGATTGTTCAATCACGCGGTACGAATTATTTCCCCTGGAATATTATCGGCTATTTTCTTGTCCAGGTTTCCAATAGAAGTGGAGTGACTCATCGTTACGCGTTATCGATACATGTATAATGTTATGCCCAAAAATCGTCCGGAGCTGGTGAACTCTTATTCGGTATGTAGGAGTTGGTTTCCTCGTCGTACTGCAGACAGGCCATCATGGTACAGGACATGTATCCTTCTTTACTGCAGCTACAATAGTTGCACCCATCGTTAAAATGTTTCCCTGGTACGCATTTCCTGTAATCTCGCTCTGGTAATAGATCATCGATTAAAGAGCGATATCGTGGATTCCGAAGAAGAAATGTGTAACTGTTTTGCGAAAAACTTACCAGATTTCGACCTTGCGAATGACCCAACGACGAACACCAGGAACAAAATAGCAAACAGTTTGAGAGACATGGTTCTCGCGTGTTACTGTTTACGACTACTCCTCGTTACATGGTACGTCTTTATATACATTTTCGATCCCATCCTATGTTGCCAGCACACCGATAACCTTCTGCGCTTCCCAACGCATTTTATCAAACGTCGAATTAATATACTTTCCTACAGCCCGTCCTTAACATTGCTACATAGTTCCCAGAAGACGTAAATATACAGTAGCTCACGAAAGTATTCGAGCGCTATGTTTCAACATAATTTCCTAACTCAGAAATTCTGATTTTAACGAAAGCTTGCGTGTACGTGAATTATAACGAATGAAGTATAACGCGTGCAATAATTTTTTTGTTGCCGGAAAATGACTTTGAGGGAATAAAATCAAGGACTACAGTATTAATAATTTTTTGATTTTAAAACAGCATCTCGTATGGAGAAACTTTTACCATAGAGTGACGGAGTAATAAAAATTAAATATTTTTTGTACAAAAAATTTTTCTTTATTTCGGGTCGTTATATAGTTATATTTAGAAAAACAGGGATCGGATTGAAACAAATGATTTTACCCACTAGAAGTAATATCTGCAAGTTAGAAAAGTTCAAAGTGTAATTATTAATTATGTGTATAGTAAATATAGTAATGTGTATAGTAGTAATTATTAATTATGTGTATAGTAAATATAGTAATGTGTATAGTAGTAATTATTAATTATGTGTATAGTAAATATAGTAATGTGTATAGTAGTAATTAATAATTATGTGTATATTAATTATATGTAACTCGTTATGCTTTACGTATGCGCTTATTTTCATTAAAATCAGAATTTTTAAGTCAGAGTACCCTCTTAAAATGTGTATAGCGTTCGAATACTTTCGTGAGCTATTGCGTATATGCATTATAGTCTTATTTATCTGTATTAATTAACTTTCAAATATTTGGTATAAAAGTTTTACGCGTGGTACTGGTTACCATAGATTGTAATATATCGTGATGTGAAAGTGTATGGTCCATGTATATATGGAAAATTGCGGGCCGCAAGTATGTATGGAATGATTATGGGTATGTGTTAATGTGTTGGATTTACATACAATCGCGACATCTTTCTTCAATCTATGTAAACACAGATTGAACTGTGTAAACACAATCAGTTTTTGTTGTTATGTGGCGTAACGAGTGAGTCAGTCTGTATACGACCTTGTGTCAAGAGAGATAATATTGTGTAAAGATCTGTGTTCCTCAACTGATAAATCGTATTAATTACTCCGAATTCACCAGTCCACTGCAAACTATTAATAAATACTGCAGTATGCGTGTAATCAATATAACGTGGTATGGTCTGAGTATTTTTGTGTACTATATGGTAGAAGAGAGTGTGGATTTGGTTTTGTTAGTGTGAATGCGAGTGTGTGAGGTCGAGTGATGGCACGAATGTAGATATGTATGTTTTTGGAAGTGCAAGTGGAAGATCTAGAATGAGTGGTATTGTGCAATTGTTATAAGTCAGAGCCAATATGATGCAAGGAGAGTCAGTTTGTTATGAAAAGCGTGAAAGTGAACAGTGACGAGATAATAATAGTATTTAGAGAAATTTCACCACACATACCTAATCGTTGAAATCTTTTGTGACGTGCGTTTATTATAATTTGTAATAAATATATAATTGTTAAACAACAAACTCACATTCATTAGTCAAACACTTTATTCGAAAATTTAGTACGGTGCATGAGCTGTAATTGTCTACCTGTTATCGGTTGTCATAATTAATTAATCAAATAAATATCTAGAAGTATTATTACTTGCTATGTTATAAAGCAAGCGACGCTGTTTGTTGTTTTTGCCGTTTTGCACAATTGATAGTTTAAAAAATAATATTTAAAAGTTTCCTTGAAATAGTTACAACTATTTAAAATTTATTAAATACGCATTCTTACTCTTTAGGCTATTTTTGTTAATTGTTGTTATTTACTTTTGATGCATTTAGGATATTTCAATCGAGATACTGTATGTGGTAAATATTTTAGTTAAAAGAATGTAGAATCTGTCAGTCGAAGTTTGGATCAAATATAGTTAATTGTTATGTCAAATAAAATTTTGACAACTTAATTCACATCGATTGACAATCAATCGACTTTAAAACTGTTGAAAAATCAATTCTGGATTGTTATGTAGAAATCGAATCTATCTTTACAAACCAAAATTAATGGAATAGTGGAAGCGGTGAAAAAATGAAATAAAAATATTATTTTCCTAAAATAATGGTAAAAAATGCAGTAATATCTCGATTATGCGAACCAGTAAAAGAGTAATGGGTGTTCGAATAAGGATATTCTATAATAATAGCATACTAATTGTAATAATAACGTTAATGTTATACGTGCATAATGATAGCAATCACAAATAATAAATTTAAAACGTGATTTCATTGCAGTTTATGTATCCCAAATTCCTTTGAATACTGTATTATTAAATTAATTATCCGATGTATGCGTGACGCTAATACTATAGTAAGTAGATAGTATTATTTCTGTAAGTCCAATTGTATAAATCGATTTAAATTGAAATATTCAATTACAAAATGTGATCGCATAACAGAATATTCGGATAATAGAGATCTAGGTTCAGATGATGTAGGTCTCATTATACTCTTTTAATATCTTTCTATTATTTTGTTTAGTTATTTTAATTCATATATTATACTTATAAATTTGTAAATATATGTAAAATATAACCCTCGCCACTAAAGTACATGATAGCAATCACAAATAACAGAAAAATATGGTACATTTCTACATTACATATTATAATTCACGTATAGTTTCTTGTAGTCCAATGAAAGTTTTGAAATTAAGTTATCCGTATATTTGTACGATCCATTAACATGACGTGACTTCGAAACCTTGATGTTGAGTCATCTAAGGGACCATAGAACTCCTGTTGACCTTGGATCAATGACACTGATTTCTACGTGTTGCGACAGCAAAACCGAAAATTAATCGTACCTCGCCGTCCTTCCAGTAAACGTACACGGCATTTATAACCATCGCGTTCTGACAGCCACTCGAACCATACAAATTTAAAAAGCGTACGACAGACCCTGTTCCGTCCCGAAAAGCGTATTTACAGCATAACTCTTGTGGGATGGAGAGCAGTGAAGGGCACAAACAAAGGAAATAGTATTAACACGTTGACTGCCGCGCTCATTTTACGTGATTTGCCCATGACGTCAACATGAATTTCTTATCATGCGATGTATATTATGTTGAACTATGCTCTACAGCAGATTAGGCAAGTAATGTAATCGTGTTCAATGCATTTTTCGTGGTCACCGGGGGGTCACCGGAGACCTCCGAGGCACTGCAATCAAGTCAAATACCGAGCACCACAGCAGTCAACGTTTTAATTCTTATTTTTACTATTGGTCGCATTGCCGATCACCGGTGCCCCCCGCGGCGCTGCAGCTAAGTCAAGTACCGATCACCGGTGACCCCCACGGCAGTCAACGTGTTAACCCTTTGACTACGATAGACTTTGAAATGCACCGGTCGTACCACACGGGTAGGAACTCATTTGCAATGACCGCCGAAAACGGCAAAATTTTGGGTAGCGATGCGCCCTCCGTGTCAGAAAAGCAAACTGTGTTGAGCGCTTATATGCGCCTTCCATGTCACAGAAGCAAAATTTCTAGGGATTAAGAACGATAACTGGACTTACTTCAAAGCAAATTCATGGAAACGCTTGGGCCGTTTCTCGAAAATCGAGGAATAATAAACGGCGACATCGAGTTCCACTCGGGCGTCCAGGGCGACATCTAGAATACGGGCGGAGGAGCAAACGATAGAACGAAAGAATCGTCTTGACGAAATATTTGTGAAAGGAGTCTTTATTTGGATGGCGTCACCCTGCATCGATATCTATGTTTGCTTCGAGGGACCATCAAGATTATCAATTCTCGAAGCAGGACCGAGTGGCGCAATGGGTCGTCATAGGGCTCATAAGAACCTGGCCGAAGGGTTCGAGGGAACACCCTCTTTCGACAGTCAACGGTCTGCATCACGCATCGTACAAGAGTCAAGCATACGTGTATCGCCAGGGAATAAAATATAAATCAAAGTATAAAGTCAAGTCATTATAAACCCGATCCTTTTTACCACATATTTATGACTGTATCGAGTGATGGAGAAAGAAAGACTGTATATGAAAAGAGAGAGTTTTTTCTCTAAGTAAGAATGCAAAGACGCGAGAGAGCAGAGAAAGCAGAAGGCAGAAGGCAGAATGTGTGCAGTCGAAACATAGTGAATAAAGGATCGTGTGTTTAACACCTTGACTACCACGCGCATTTTACATGGTTTGCCCATGGCGCCAACATAAATATTTTATTATGCGATGCATATTACGTTGAAATATTATTTACAACAGATAAGGTGAGTCGTGTAATCGCGTTTAATGTATTTTTCGTGGTGGAGGTCACCGGTGACCCCCGCGGCGCTGTAGACCATTTTTGCCATTATCAATTGTTTAAAAAGCAACTCGAAAAAATATTTCAATTCCCGATTTTAGGATGAAGTTAGCGATGTATTTAGTGAAATGTTCTGATCATGAAGATTGTATTTCATCGAGCAATTACGTACTGAAAACACGTCGTCGCGAATTTAAAAAGAAACCTGGAAGTGTGCGAAATGTAAGGCGATTTTGCAAAGTGTGCTATGAAAATAATTCAAATCAGCTAGGAAGAATGAGAGCAAAGAATTGCACTAAAAAAGTGGCGACATATTGTGCCGACTGTTTTGGTTCACCTTTTCTTTGTATAAATAAAATTATTTTTGCATGTTCAGTATGGCATTAATTTCTTCGAACCATTATAGTAACAATGGTACTATTTAAAAATTTATCAGTATCGATATTTACTCTAATTATGTATTTTTACTAATGTTCACGTCGCCGGTCACCGGTGGCCCCCGTGGCGCTACCGTCAAGTTGAGTGCCGGTCACTGGTGACCCCCATGGCAGTCAACGTGTTAAGAGTTGAAATTGA